ACACACACACACACAAACATATATATATATATATATGGAGGCATGCACACAGTGCCCACTGCGGCGTCTCCCTCTCCGCCGCTCACTTCACTTCACTGAAGTGACTCTTTCTTTTTTTTTTTCTTGTTATTCTTCTCGCTGCGTCATCCACCCCCCGCAAGAACAACGATAAGAAAGAGATATGCGTTCTCTTGGCCAAGGCAGAGACGCATACGATGCGGCAGACGAATAAGTCAGCTGCCGCAAGGTTGCGCCGGCGACCACGACGAGACGGCGGAGGCCGCACCCAACGACGTCTTCGCAGACGGCAGCAGCAGCTCCATGCGGCCAAACTGCACAAGAGGAGAGAGAGAGAGAGAGAGAAAGGCGTGGGAGCGCGCCACTCACTTTTGTGGTTGGTACAAGCATTGCTGCTGCTGTGGTGGTGGTGGCTTTGCCTGGATCCGAGTGCATTTGGGAAGGAGTTATTGTTTCCTGCCGGTGTCATATTCTCTTGGCTGGTGAGTGTCTTTTATTAATTGTGTGGGTGTGTGTGGGTGGGTGTGTGTGCCCTGTTGTTGTTTGAGGGGTGCTTCATTTGCTCTCGCTTACTCCCCTGAGTCTGCCATCGGGCATCACACGTCGTGGGGCCGGCAAGAGCGGAGTACTGAGCCTTTGTTTCTTGATGGCGGGCGTGTGCGGAACGAACCCTGCATCCAGCCGTCCATCTGTGAGTCTGGCAGGCAAGGGCCTTGGCATGCACATGCGTGTAGTTGTCGGTGTGCACGGCGTTAAGGGTTCAGGTATTTATTTATTTATTTTTTCTCTCTTCCTCTCTGCTGTGCGTCACGCACGCACACACCAATGCGTAGAAGTGAAGATAGGCGGAATGGGCATAGAAACGTGGAAGATATTCCCGAATATCCTCTCGGAGTACCCAAAGCACTCCGTTCCGCTGCCGTGCTCCGACCAGAACCCGCGGCTGAAGTGCCCTGAGACGCGTTGGGCCCGTGACTTCTGCCTTGCGCAGGGCGGTAACTGCGAGTACAAGATAGAAGCGCACTTCGACTGCCTCGAGCAGTACTACCCAAAGGAGAAGGTGACGGAGCTGCGCAAAGCGTTCAAGCCCAATACACTCGACTATCCGACCAGCGACACCTACATTCGCTATCGGCACTTCTACGTGGGCGCTGGTTGGATGGGCGGCAAGCACGGCTGGGATGGGGTCGCGTAGTGTAGTTGTTATGGCACGCATTGCAGCAAGAACAAAAAGTCGCTTTCATGTTTGTTTTGTTTGTTGTTGTTAGTTTTTTTTTCGTGTGTGTGTGTTAGCGACAGGAGTGGTGAGCGAGGGGGATCATGCACACCCGCGTGTGTCGTTGTGCATCTCTGCATATGTGTCTGCGCGTATGTATGAGTAGCAGTAGTAGCGGTAGTAGAGAGAGGGAGGAGGGATTGGG